TAACGGATAAAAATTTACTTTGTAATTAATAATTTTTAAGTGGTCGGATACTTTTGCTAGGTGAGTGTACATAAATTCTTAAAATGAAGTTATGTAAAAAATATAAATATTCCTTCTAATGCATTACAGATATAAAATAAAGAATCAAATCAAATATAAAATTGGTTAAAAAATATTTACAAAGAATTTATATTGTATTATAATTTATTCTGTCAATTCTATACTTGAATACCTTACGAGACATAGTAAACTTTTCTTCCAAAGTATAATTTCAGGTATGGATTTTTTTTATAGCGGTTATCCCATTTCTTGAAATCTCACAATCCTTAATATTGAGTTTTTAAAGATTATGACATGAATTTATAATAGTATTAATAGATATATCGGTAATATAACATTCTTCAAGAATAAGCTCTTTTAAATTGGAATATGATCACACTAATATACAGATAGACGCATCAGTTATATACCCTCTCGTTTACATTAAGATATTGGAGTTTAGAACATGATTCAACAATTTTTTTTTATAGATAGATCGGTAATTCTATTATTTTCACCCTCTTCACTGTTAAAAATAAATTGGGATATGAATTTATAATTTCTGATATTCCACTGTCAGATATATATTATTTACAACAAGGCATATCAGAAACTTCATAACCACTTATATTAATATTTTCTATTTTTTAATAATTTTTTGCAATTGCAATCAATACCGTATCTATGATTTTTATTATTGTAGCCAATATTAATTTGAATGTATTGTTACAATATCATAGCCTTATCACTGATGCGAAATAGTATTTATGAAGATTTTTCCAATATTTTTTTCAGAAAATCCATAATAACGGGCTACAACTAGAAATATAAAATTCAGTTAATTTCGAAGTATAAAAAGAATTTTGTGTATGGCAATGTAATTTTCAACAAAATTTGGAGTGGAAACAAATTCATGATGGAAATCATAAATTATAAAAAAATGCACTAACTTGTTTTGCTGGTTTATTTGCTTCTGCTGGAAAATCCAATTACTCGGTATCGGTTGTTCAATATTTGCTCAAAAGCTTGAATAGAAATTATCATCAATTAAAATTGAAGAAGAAAAAAGAAAAGGTCATTACTTTGCTTTTGATGAAGCTTGAAACGTTGAGGGTGAAGTTTATTAAACAAGCATTACTGGAAATGTAATTGATGTCAACAGTTTAAAATTATAGGTGAAAGCCAATAGGAAATCTTATTATTGGTTTTCAAAACTCTAATTAATATCAAAATCCCTTATGGAATACTACTTCTCCTGATCACACAGTAGCATCTATTGCACGCTTATGTAATTGTTTCCCTGATGGAGTTTTTTAAGAATAGAAAATATATTCTCAAAAGACATCATTTTAAAAAAATTAAAAAAATTAAAAAAATTAGAAGAATGACGAAATGGAAACCTGCTGATCAAAATAATAAAAGAAAAAAGAATACTTCAACAAATTTAACCTCGTTGAAAATCAGGAATTTATAACCAAATTTTTTTCGAATCTAAACAACAAATATCATATTACAAGATAATTAGAACAATCAAGTTCGTCGTGAAACTAAACCTGAAGAAAAAAGAATTTTTAATAAAATATCCAACCATTGAATAAGTAAATTAAGGGGTAAAAATAGAATTAATAAATATATTTTTCGCTATAACATAACAAAAATAATAATTAACATTGAATTATTAATTAAATACCTTATTTCGCTAAAAAAAATACAAAAAAAAAATATTAATAAATCGAATTCATTGATATGTTTTGATATAATATTAAAATAAAATAAAAATATAATTAAAATGGTGATTGTGGTGTATTTTCCGAAGAATAATTCGATTCGATATTTATATAGCATATATATTGCGTTACTGATTTTTATATTCAAATAAAAAAATTCATATAAATATACAGTATAATTTATTATTTATATTCTTATTTAAATGTATTTTATTATTAATTTAAATCCAATTCTTTTCGCGGAGATAAGATCGCGTACGAAGTATGTACCTATAGTCAGGTGTTTGAGAAATTATTTTATAATCTGATTTGATCGACCAATCCAATTAAAAACTTTCATATTAATGTGTTGCACACATTGGCAATTCTTTCAAATAATTCAAATAATTATAAAGTATTATCAGTTATATAATTATTATATCACAGATGAGGCTTGAGAAAATTAAATATAGTAACATTACTCGTGATCAAAAAAATTTGGGGCTTAGATCATTAATGATGATCAATTAATATATTTATGTATATTCGGGCTTATGGGGCTTATACTTGTGATAACTTCTTCTCACATAGTCATAATTCATTTTATTATAAATCAAATCATCAAAACCGGCAATAGCTCAGTTGGTAGAGCGGGAGACTGTAGTGAGCTTTCAAAACTCAACACTGATATCTCTAGGTCGCTAGTTCAAATCTGGCTTGCCGGATCAAGACAATTGCTTTTATTTATTCCTTTAAATATTTTTATATACTGTGCAAATTTTATGTGAAGATTTTACGAGTGAAGAAATTACAATCGAAAACTTCAATAATATTTTAATAATATTAAAATTTATGGGGTGGTTCTTTTTTATTATTAAATAAATTATTTGGAATCCTATTTTATATAAGTATCATACACCAGCACCATTTATGTGAAATTTTAAAAAAAATGAAAAATAGTTTCTTATCATAAATTTTAGAAACTGCACTTGATATTTTGTACAAAAATCTATTATTACAAGAGGTCTAGGTTAGATGTGATTTGTGCTTATGATTATTAATTAAATAAAAAAAAAAATCTAAAATTGAATTTTTTAAAAAATGTACAAAACCATTTCTTCCAATATCCTTCTTTTGAAAGGTTATGTTTAAAAGCAATATTTGTATTTGTTCAAAATCAAAGAACGTAAATCATTGAATGTTTACAAAATTATAAATCAGATGGAAGGCTAAATTCTTTCAGATGATATTATACAGAACATGCCATGCATATAATTATAATGATGATAGTAATGAAATCAATAAAAATGGAGAAAGTTCGATAAATATAACAATAATAATAAGAGATAGATATATGAGACATAATGAAATTATCAACAATTAAGTAGTAGAACTAATAGATAAAACAAAAGTAAAAAATAGTTTAGAAGATATAGCAAAAGTAGTAATAATAGCATTATTATTTTAATGTTTTTTATTTTCTTCTTGGACTTGTTAAGTAATAGTAAATGATGATATAATATGACATTTGTACTTCTACCCAATTATTGCATTTTCCAAATGAACAAGAATTTGCATACATTATTTTACTTTGTATGTGTTTTGTATTTATATAAAAAAAAAAAAAATACAAAATTCTTTGTTGGTATTATGCAACTTAGATAAAAAGAAAATTCGATTAAAAATAATAAATAATGAAAAATGAATAAATAAAGTAAAAGTAAAAAAAAAAAAAAGTAATTTAAAAAAAAATTTAAAAAAAAATAAAGAAAATAAACTTCATAATTTATAAACTAAAATGATTTTAAATAAAAAAGAATTTTTTTACAAGATGCAAAATAATAAAATATCAGATTATGATTGCAAGTTATTAGAAAATTCTATTTAAAAGATCATGTTATTTAAATTAATAAAATTAATAAAATATATGGTAAAAATCAAATAAAGGATTTCTTTTAAAAGAACATTAATAGTGTTTATTCAAACAATTTAGTCGTGTTAGACCGTACAAATTGAATTAAGAGAAATACCATGAAGTATAATATCAATATTAATATTCTAAAGTTCCAAATTCAATTCAAGAAGCTGATGGTATTAAAAAAAAAATGGACATTTTCCATACATAACTTCACTTCTTTTTTTCCTTCAAGTGGTATGTATGGAATTAACCATAAATATTACTACCAGATTATAATCATTAAATCACCTTTGTTTTCCATTTTAAATTTAATAATATAATTTGAAGTAAATATAAATGCATGTCCACCTGAAATCTGATAAAAAAAAAAAAACAAATAATACATAAGATAATTTATTGTAAACATTTTCAATATTAAAAGTTCACAATAATCTAAATATCCTCTTTAAGCAATTCAGATATCTCATTTATAGAATCTTATAATTCTTTCTAAGCAACTTTTCTGCAAAAAATATTTACATCCGTTAGCTATGTACTTGATTCAATAATCAGTACGTAATTTTTATTATAATTCGACTTAGAATTTAAAGTGACAATAATAATTATGTACATTAGATGATTTGAGAACTTCTGATTATTGATGATTATTATAAAAATTTTTTCTAATTGAATACTATGAATTTGATGATAATAATTATTATTAGAAGTGTTTTTATTGGTATTATTGGTGCATTGAAAATTTTAGTTGTTGTTGTTGTCGTTGGAATTAATAATGATGAAACTTCATCTCATCTTTATTATTCTCTAGCTGCATGAAAAACATCATTAAATTTTCTTTGAATTAATAAATTTTTTAAATAACCCGGTCTGAATAATCTTCAAAAGTAATATTTTATTATTAATAGCACAATTATTTATAATATTATTTATATCATTATGATTGATGAATAGATTTAGGTATAATTTCTAACAATAGATAATTGAGGTTTTTGATAATTATTATGAAACATTGTTTATATGGTTTGTTTAGAATGGCGAAAAGTTCACAAAGGAGAGGCAACTTGGGATAAATATGTTGAGGTAAATTATCTTTATTTTATTATATAATTTTTCTCGTTTTTTACTTTCATTTTCCGTTTTTCGTATTTCTTCTTTACTTCGACTTCTTCATCTTCATTGAATGGTTTGAATATTTCTTCTTCTTCTTCTCCTTTTAGCATTTCTTTTAAATATTTTAATATATTTATATTTCTTTGTCATCGTATATTTTTATTTCTTGTTCCCATTCTTGTTCCTAGGTGTTTCCAGTATTACTGGTACCCGTGTGTTTTTTAATATATCCATTATTATTTCTCGGTATTTTGATTTTTGTAATGTTTCATGTCGGTCTGTTCCATCTCCGATATTTACGTGTTCGGGTATCCCGTTTTCATGTATTAGTCGTATTATTCGTTCGTTATTATTTATTTCTGCTTTTAATGTTTCCAAGTCTTGTCCTGATGCATACCAATGTTCTGTGTCTATACATACTGTATATAGATTTCGTTATGGGTGTAGAATTCTTTCAATTCTTTAATGGTTGTTCCCCAATCGTTGGTGTGTGCTGAATTTTCGAGATAAATTGGTATCCTTGTTTCTTTTCGTATTAGTTCAATATTACTTTTTATTTTCTCCTTCTTATATTTTGTTTCTTTTTTAAAGTCTTCTCGTAAGTTCCCTGGTTTCGACAGGTCTTCTGCTGTTGCTACTTGTATTTTACATGCTATGTGTAAATAGAATTCTTTCTTTGGTTTCCAATTTTCTGGTGGGTATTCTCGTGGTTCTTTTCCTTTTGGTTCAAAGAATATTTGTTATATATCTCATCAGGAAATTTAATTAGGCGTCGATTTACGGAATCTCACATGACCTCCGGAAATTTCCGCCTGAAAAATTTGAT